TATTGCCAAGTGGTCATTTGTTATGCAACTTGTTTACCCTTTTGGTCTACCAGTACAAAGATTGCAATTCATGAAATACAGCTTTTTCTATGAAAAGTTGTTTCTTAGGGGAAAAAACAGTTTGCGGCAGAATAGAATAAAGCATGAACATATGTAAAGGATTTCACAGTAAAAGTTTGAAATGAAGATATTGCCAAGCTAATTAAAATTAATTGTAGTTGATGCTTTTAAATAGCAGGGAGAAAGTAAGAAACAACCAAAACCTATGGAATTATGAACAAGTTAAAGACTGAACCTGCTTCTCCACCTTTGCTTAAGCATGGAGAAAGCTCCCAATGAGTCCAGTTATTTGGAGTAAATGGGAGATTTTTCAGCCTCATGGAAACTGCTGGCAACCAGCTACCAGCAGACAGACAGCCTCTCAGCCCTCTTTCTGCAGCTAATTTTGCTCCTCCTCCCCTCTGAAAAACATAGAGGACCTTTTGAGGTCAACCAACAAGATAAAAGGGATTTAGGTATACAGAGGAAAGGCCTAGAGTGATAAAACACACTGCAACAGTACACAAAAAGGTACACATGAAAATATCTGATTTACTGTTTCAGTGACTTGGCTGATAGACAGGGTACTTCTTACCCTTACTGGACGAATAGCTGCTGCAGCTCTGGATTTACAGTACTGTCCCTATTTGAAATTTCATTTCTAATTTCCTCCACTGAGCTCTTCTGCATCTCCACACATTACACTCCAGTCTCTACTCACAAAAAAATGTGCCAAATAATGCAGCTGCACACAGACTTGCACCAGAAGCACTGCACAACTACTCCAGCTCTAAGCACAGCATCCTGCTTTGTGAGCTTTGCCCTGCAAGAAAGTTCTCCCAGATGTGCCCAACAGCTTCCCAACACCAAGATGCCTCCACTGCCCACAGCAGGCTGTGGTTAAGGCTTTTGACTCGTGGACAGGGATGGGGTTGTTCCTTCTTTTGTTGGTTTGTTTGCCAGATCATGATTTGAGGCTTTTTATGATTAGGGTTGGTTTTTCCCCAGCAAGGGAAAAGCTGTTCTAGCAGAAGTGGGAGATGAGGCTGCTGTTTTGCAGTCAAGTTTCGCCTCCCCACTTTATCACAGACTTTCTACACTATCACATGCAATCTGCTTGGCCACTTAATGTTTCAGTTACCCTCCCTAACCTGCAGAAATGTTGGAAAAAATAAAAAATAATAAAAAAATTAAAGGCTGTGACAGCCTCAGTTACTTTCATAACAAGGACTTGTAGACAAGTTCTGTTTATGGCCAGTGCTAAGTAGGACAAGCCTCTGTGACTTAAGTGGACACATCCATCCCCAGCAGTACAATTTCAGCAGCAAGAACACTCTAGCCATAGCAGCAGAGCTGACATCATCTCCCTCCATCCTTCCATGCTCAATCTTTAGCATATTATTAATACCAAAACTTCACCAACCAAGATTTTGCAACTAATTGCTTAAGTAATATCCAGTGCCATTAGATCTCTGTGAACCATGTCAATGGACCTTCATGTGGTGCCTGACCAGACAGCACTTAAAATTGTTCTGCAGAACTACAGAGTGCCTCTGATACTGAGGAAATCTTCTTCAATGATGGAGAATTTGAACCAGATCATTTAGAAATTGAAGCAGTGCAACAGTGACAGTAAAGCAATAGTTAAATGTTTCTGGTACCTTTTCATCAAGGCAAATAGAAATTCAGTTTGGACAATGTAACCTGATTTGTCCTGAGGCTGGCAAGAGAGGTACTGGAAACACACAAAGCATCATCCACTGTCTAATCCTTGTACCTCAGCAGCTTATTTTGATACTTCAAGTTACGACAGATGAGCTCAATGAAAATCTGTTTCTTACAAGGAGAAATTATTTCCTTTAAATTATCACAGTCATTAGCAGGACAGGATTAGCACCCTGATCCATCCTTCAGAGCAACTGCAGAAACACAGGGAAGTAGTTTGTCCTTTGAGTGATTGCTGAATCTACATTTAGCCACATCCTCAAGTAAATAAAACTGCTCCCATAAATTTAGGATCCAAAGTCCTTTCCCCTATTATGTACAGAAATAAATGCTTACATTATAATAGTGTTGTTAAGTATATATATATTCAGTGTTTAAGGCTGATGATAGCATACGAAAGAGGCAGATTGCTCTAGTAATTATAAAATGCAGCAGTCACTTGACTGCAGTTGTAAGGTTTTATTTAGGTAAAGTCTTTCAGGATACAGAGAATTTTCAAACACAATGAGAATTTAGGAGGTGTTCTGACAGTTTGTATTTCCATTCCATTTTCTTTAATTTTGCATCTACAACCACCTCATGCTGTCAAGGTTATATTTTTTTTTTAATGTGATTTCCTTTGAAAGGTGAGCTAAAACAGTCTACTTAATTTTGGCAGCAAACATAATCAAACCATTTCTCTTTCTGTTTTTAATGCCTCCAGACATCACCAAAACTACTGACAAAGTCAAGGAAAAATATGAAATCTGGTTTTGTTTTTACATTAGCTTTAATAGAATTTTGGTTACTCCTTTCACCCCAGCCCCTGACGGACTTCATCTGAAGTCTCCTGGGGATCATGTGAAGGACTGAGGATTTGGGATGAGGATTAGGGAAGAGCCTCCAAGTGCAGAAGAAGAGCAGAGGAGGTTCAAGACAAGCAGGCCAAGAGGCTCAGTCTGCTCATGAGTGAATCCTTCATCCACCTGAGCGATCCCTGATGCATTGCTGTGCTCCCAGGGATGTGCAGCATGTCTTGCATTGCAGGGACAAACAAAAGATGCTCAAAGCTGGAAATGAAGGATGATATTTTGGCTAACAGCTGAGTTTCCTTGCAGAGCACTTGCTAAGTGCCAGGGGCTGGGTGTTCAAACAAGGGCTGGTCTCTCACACACTGCCTCTTGTTCATGGCTAATCCTGCAGTGAGGTCAAATAAGCCAGCTCTGAGTCACCACAACCATCTCCAAGGCAACTGGCTGAATATACAGTGTAAACACATGATTACAGATTCACTGTCGAGTTCAGGAAAGAGGAGGACGAAGAGCTGGGCTGAAGTAAGTCATGCTCTTATTGAAATCAGAACAGTCAGTGCTGAAGAAACTGGAGAAACACGGTGTCAGCGGAGAGTATGAAAAATGTTTTTTCCAGTTTTGCTTCTCCCCAGCATCTCCTTCAGCACTGAAGTCTCTTTTTCTCAGGTGATTGCTCCAAAATAAGGTAAAAGCACAGAAAAGGGTGTTATCCAAATGGCTCTTTACATCTGAGATGTCACCTATGCCCTCGCACTGCAGCCCTGGACGGTGCTTTCTGGGAGAAATGGGACTACATTTCTGAAAGGTTTGTTACATCTTTGATACAAGCTGCATTTTGGGACTGTACCCACCCCTACCTAGCATCCCATGCCAAAGTTCATGACTTTAGTGGGGAAAAACAACAAAAAAAGCCTATTATAACTAAAGGAACAATTGAGAACAATTCCCTCCTTTCCCTTTGAACCACAAACAGAGTCAGATTTCCCATAAACACCAACAAAATGCCCCCCTGGGAACCCTCCCCAGTGACACTATTATATTTGGGGTGGGCAGGAAGGCAGAGCCCAGAGCACTACCCTGGGTCCTGCCTGGCAGCTACTACCCCAACTCATCCCTGATACTCCCAGGACATCGGGGCCAGGGGGGATCAGAAAGCATCGCCCAGAAATTCCAGCCAATCCACCAGTTCCTGCAGGGGCTGAGGGGGAACACTGAAGCTTTTCAGTTCCTTTCTTGGCGACGCAGCCGCGGTCCCGAGGGGGAGGTGAGGTCATGGCAAGCGGGGCTGGCAGAGCCCTGTGCCTGCCACACAAAGGCAGGGAAGGAGTCACCCCCTCTTCTCCCTCCTCAGGGACAAAATAAGCACTAATCTAATTGATTGCATGGGGCTCCAGTCATCGGTAACTGTAAAAAAGACTCCTCTTCCCAAGCCAACTGAAGAACTCAAACAGCACAAAAAGAGGAGGAAATGAAAAAAATACAGTGGCCAACTTTCAGCTCCTCATCACCAGGAGGAAAAACTCCTTGGCCCAAGTTGTGCTTCACACGCATCTCGCAGAACAGCACTTAGGAAAGAGATAAAAAAGCAAACTCAAGAAACCCACTTGATCACTTAAGCTATACTGTGCACAGCGAAAACGTCAGGCGCTTTCTCACACTAGCACCAACGTGCTGCATAGCAACAAGTCAGAAGGAAAGGTTAATGGTAAGGACAGCAGCCTGGAACACGCTCATTCCCACGGTCCTCAAGTCACCAGAGTAAAATGCTGTGCCCGTTTGTTTTGTCCTGTTAACGGCACAAAGGCTGAAAAAGAGTGGGGGGCTTCAATGGGAAAACCCACCCCATCTGAACTAGCTGGGGTGGAGTGATGGCACCAAGCACCAGCCTCAAACTGCCTGTTTTCATAAATTTGAACCAGTTCTCTAATTTTTGCCTGAGCGTTCACAGTAGCTGCAGTGTTGATAGCTCCAGTGTAACTTCCTGCCACTGCAAGAGTTCCAGAAACTTGGTGTTGGCTCTGACCTGCATGACATTTAGGGAAAAAGGGCTGTATTACACCACGACTGCAGTAATGAACTTCACCATGTCAAGCAGATCCTAACTGTAGGTAGGACTTACCAGGCTGTAGACCCTTTGCACAGTAGTATCTCTAACCCAGCAAATGTGTTTCCCACCATTTTGCTCACATTTAAAAGCTTTTTACTATGTGTAAATACATACAAGAGAACCCCATATTTACACAGCGGATAATTGCAATCTCAGTGTCATATAATTCTAGGGAAATCAAGAAAGTAGTTTTAAAAGGCAGAAGCAGTCATCCAAACCACACATCCCACTCTTTGTGAATGTGTAAACGAGGAAAAAAGTCAACCAACAAAGCCTCCTTGAATTAATCAAATTTCATAGACTGATACACTGATAGACAAAGAAAGGTAAATGTTTACCAGGAGAAATTGTCTCGAGACTCCCAGGATTAATCTTTCTTGTGCTTGTGCAGTGTTGGACAGTTGACCCAGTGAAGACCAAGTAAAAAACTACATCATCTTCAATTTTATCTTCCTCTGTCAGCTGCACTGTAATAACAGAGTCACCCTAGGAAAAAGAACAAGAGGTTAGGTTTACATTTGCAAGAACTGCATCGTGTAAAATAAAACTTCTCCAGCTCCATGGCCCCTGCTCCCTGTTCATACTGCCTTCCACACAACCCTGGGCCCATTCTGATTTTCAGATATGTAAGTCATCCTTAGCACATCACAGCCAGCCAACCAGCTAGCAAGTACATTGAGTGCAGCTCTGGGAAGAGCCATGTAGAAATCTCCAGGGTACATTCAAACTAGCAACTTAATACGGTGAAATGTTTTATGTACACACACATATGCAGATATATACATATCCCTCCACCAGTACACAGCTAAAGCAACAGAATTGGGACAGCAGCCTAAAATTGCCTCATTTTTCATAAAATGGAACAAATTCCCCAATTCTTGCTTGAGAGTTCTCATTAGCCACTGTATTGATAGTTCCAGTGTAGCCAACTTAATTGCTGAAGGCCTCTCTCATCCCCAGTTCATGAACACAAAAAGATATGTAAGTTTCATATCCACTAGGAGCTTTCCCACCTTCCTTACAAAAAGCAGTAACTGTGGCTGCACAGACAGTGGTAGCTCTTCCCACTCATCCATAAGCTCATGCCTTGGTGAAAAAGCTCTGTATTTTATGAAAAGCAGCAGTTCCTCAAGCCATGAAACCTGTCATGATCTGTCGGCTGAACACTCCTGGACAGTTTTAGGGAGGCTTTGTTTCAGTATCTCAGTATATTCTACCATTTTGCTCGTCTTTGCTATCAGCAAAAATTACACCCACAAAGGGCACACAGGGTATCATAGTTAACCCAGCACAGGACGCAGAAAATACACCTGAAATTCATACACCTGCATGAAAGGAGCAATATCCACCAGGCTTTCGCTAGGGAAGGGAAAGCTAGGAAAGAGGATGGCCTGCAGCTACCACAGCATTAAGTGAAGCATGTTCATTTGATCTCACCATACACCATTTATCCAGCCAAAATTTTATAGGAACAACGGACTGTGATGTGACCTTCTGCCCCTTCTCTATCAAGATCAAAACCAGTCAGATATCCCAGTTTTACACTGCAGCTGCCTTAGCCAGTTCTCTGCCACCACCCCACTGAGCATCTGGTGAAGGCTGCAAATCTGGAAAAGATTTTAATAATATTATTATTATTGCAGATTATGTAATTCTGATTTGCATACCAAATAGAATACACATGTAATTTCATTTAAAATCTTCTCCTGAGGATCACTCAGTTTGTCCTTTCACTTTATCAAATACAACCACTGCAGAAGAATCCCAGACTTCCAAGCCCCCCTGCCCACCTGTGTCATGTTGGCATCACCTCCCACAATCCAACTTACGTCTCCCCTCATTCTCCCTCATCTCAGCTCCTTTTAAAACCCCCCACCACTTCCTCCTCCAAGTTCATATCCAGTTCTTCTCCTCTGATCTGGCCTGTCTGATACATCTTGCCAGGGGCAAGACTGCACCTTGTTTTGATAGAAGTAAAGTTTTGCAGGGCAATACACAACTAGCCCCTGGTCTTAAAAACAAATATATGGGTCAGTCTTGTAACACGCAGGAAAGAAACCCATGAATTCACAAAGATAAATGCAGCAGTACGTCTAGTTTGCATTTCCAGAGGCTGCAGAGCTACAAACATAGGTTGTAAGAAGGTTTCACGTGATAATATCAGACCAGACTTCCAGCTGAGGAGAAAGGAACCACGTAGCAAAAATATATATTGTATATAGTAAGTGTTAAAATAAAAACAGGTGCAAAAAGAAATAAATCAAGCTTTAAATTCAAGCATGACCAGTTCACATGCTGAGTTGGAAACTAAATATTCCATTTCAAACAAACGGATCCAGTTTTGAGCGGATGCATTAAAAACAAAAGCTGAAGTTTTAACCTACAAACCCTTTGTGCTTTGTTTTTTTATATCCGTCTGTGTTCAAACTGTTCCTCCCTCAAGGCATGAACACACAAAGTACTTTAACGGACTTAAAATGCAGGTGACATTTCAGGACGCTCATCAACAGGGCTGATTGTTTAAAGTTGTATCTGTTAAAAGAGACTTTTGTTTTATTAAACTCAGTAATTAAGCTAGTCCAGTTTCTGTGAAAGGAAAGCAAACAAGCGCAGAGTGCATGGGAAGACACCTGTCTGTGTGAGCTACTCGCATCTCAAGGAAAAACAAGCGCAGAGTGCATGGGAAGACACCTGTGTGAGCTACTCGCATCTCAAGGAAGAGAGATTTAATTCACAGCATGATTGGAAAAGCAGATTTTGTTATTGACAAAAAGTGTAAATACATGTAGGAAATCTCAACATCAGAGGTTCCACATAACCTGAAAACATGTCTAAGACAGGTTTTAAAAAAAGGTAAGTTAGACTTCTGATACAGATACCTGACCTCACTTTCAAGGTGGCCCTGCTTTGGAGGGTGGGTGGACCAGATCACCTCCAGCAGTTCTTTCCAACCAAATTATTCCACTCTTTATATTTTCATTCAGTTTATTTCAGTTGTGGTTCAAGTCTAGGGGGAGCACAAATTATCAGCTGATATAAATTGAAAAAGCTCTTCAGCTGTGTCTAAGCAGCACGTTATGGTGGGATGGTTTCCACCACCCTGCTCCCTCCTCCTCTTCTGAGGATGCTCCAACCCAATATCCTTATTAAGATAACTAAACTTTTTTTTTTGCTTCCCCCCCCAAGTTTACTTGAAAGTTTACTTGAAAGTGCCTCCAAATACCTTTAGTAAGACCAATGATGTCCCACTTAACTACTGTGTGCTTCAGTTTACTTACAGGTGTCTTCTGAGCTACCTCTTAGTTGTACTGTGGCTGGTACAGCTCACTCAACTTGATGTGATCAGAGATGCCAGAAGCAAAAGAGCAAAGCACTAAATAAGAAAGACCATCCTCCTTCAACACACATCTCTGCTTCCCAGTTATTAACACTTTCACTGTCCACTGCCAATTTTATTTTTAAAAATTATCTTCAAGCAATGTATTTATTTGCAAAGGAAATCATGCACAGGAGAAAAGTCTGTCTTTCCAACACTCTGAGAGTTAAAGAAATCAGTTACAAATGCAGCCAAATTCCTCCAACCCACATAGAAGATTTTCCAACAGTCCTATTGCATTCAGACTCTCTAAAAACATTTTAATTGAAGTATGTTTACCTTTATTCATTTAATATTGTTTAAAAAATGTCATCTGTTCAGTATCACTGCCACACAAGGTGGTTATTATAACCCCTCTTTCATCCTGAATGGCTAGAAATGAGAGGCCAGCCTGCCAATATCCCTTTGGTGAAAGTACAGACAGATCAAAGCCATTCTCTGGAAGGTTCCAACAAACAAGAATAATTTAATTTCAAAACTAGTTTGGATTGACTAATATTTACTTGGCTTAAAGCCCATTGGAAATGAAAACATTCTATTTTGGTCCATTCATGAAAGAGGTCACCCTCTCCCTCATTCAGATCTGAAAATCTCTCGTTTCAGATAGCTGTAATGGGATGTAAAAAAGGTGGATGTGGCTCTTAAAATATATTCCCTTCCTCAAATTGAAAAGAGAAAAGCAGGTCTGCCTCACCAAGGGGCAGGTACACTGGAAAAGCCAAGTCTGACCCTGAGCTTCAAACTACTATAACTCAGAGAGGGTTTTCAGAGGGGCACATCTCTCAACCTACAGCAGCAGAAAAAACTATCTCTAACAAGGCCCAAATGTTGTTACTAAAACCCAAAACTAGACAGATAACACACCCGTCTGTCAATGTATTTTGCTGGCATTAGGACAACTCCACCTTTTTAGGTATTTGTTTTTCCAATACTGCCATTAAGAGCACTGGGATTGTGTGAAGGCAAAGCACGAGCAACTCTGAATAGCAATTTCTTCTTTCTCACAATTGGTTTCTGTGCATGTTAAACTACTCACCTCCAAAGGCATTTTCTTTCTTTTTTAAATACATGACTTCAGCAATATTTGTAAGTGACAATGAAGCAAACAAAATCTTTAACTTCAAAATAATTAAGGTCACTTATGTCATTAGCACAAAAGTACTACCCACCATCCCAAAAGAAATAGTTGTTTTAAGTGTGTAAAGACATCTTTCTTTTCCACTTTAGGCTCTGGAAATGTGTCTGGTTTGGGAGAATCAGTCATAAAAGATCTTATACAGGGGGACTGCAAGGACACCCCAGCAAACACAGCCTTCAAGACCTCCAGCTATAAACCATGAATTTAGCTGACAAGGACAAGTTTCCCCTTGGTGAGATCAGCTCAAGCAGCAACAGGTACACTTCTCTACAATGGTCTATGCTGGATAAGAAATTTTCAAGTTTCTAAGAAATAAAAGGGGAAGGCAAGTCGTATTTTTATAGCTGAATCATGTGATTGCTAAGCTGGTTTTCCCCCTCATGGTTATCCTGGGCATTCTGAAGTATGTTACCTAACACACTAACCACCCACACTGACCTCCCCACACACATACAGCCCAAAAATACTTATGAAAAAGCAGCACTTGTTAGATAGCAACACTGAAGCACTCCAGCACTACTTCAGCATTTTGCTTTTAATAACAAAACACTAACAACTAGTAATCCTGAATTTGTTCTACACAGAAAAATAAAATTGCTGCTGCTGACCAACGCCATCTCCAGCTGCTTCTTCCTGCAGGTAGAGCCTGGCCCGTGATGGCAAGTCCACGTGTCAGATGGTTAGAGATTCACACACAAGGGAAAAAACCTTCCTCCCCATGTATTTCCTTCTAAAGAGCTGTTGTAGACATTGGTGTGATGATGTTTTATTAAAGAGGCTGGATTAGGCAGTGGATTAGATGAGTAAACGTAACCTGTCACTGTAACAGAATTTGTTTTGTTTCTGCTATTCATAACATGAATCAGATCCTTGTTGGGTCATTGCTTATTGCATTATGTTGGGACACAAAAGGAGAAATATGCTTTCAAACCATTTTTCTTCCCCCTTTGGGAAGCTCTAAATAGCTCCTAAGAGAGCTGCACTGTCCCCAAGAGTACTGCACAAAATCAATTGTGGTTTCTTCCTCCTTCTTCAAGTAATTCAGGCTCATCGGTACCTTTATTTTTTGGATGGAGCTGGACGTGGTGTTACACCAGCTACTGCTCTGCAGAGTACACAGACTCAGGCTGTGATTACAGCAGGCAACGAGTCCATTCACATCCCTGTGCTTCCAGTTTCCCCATCAATGAAATGTAAATCGTATTTTTCATCCAAATGGCTTTTAAAGGCAAAGCTGGCTTTTCAATCAGATTATGTTTTCTTTGGGAAGTGCGTGCACAGGACCAACGGTAATTAAGTGAGACAAAATCAAAGGGAAAGTTGAGACAATCCCATCTCAAACTGGGAACTGCAGAATACTATGAAAGCAGCTGAAGGATGGAAAAAGCAATTGCAAGGCAGCTTTAGAAAATGTAGCAGAAATCACTTTGCAAGAAAAAAAGAGTAAAATATAATTTAGATACTCAATGATCCATTACCATCTACCTCTGCCAGTACTCTAGGTCAACAGCTAAACTTTTGCTCCCAGGGTCCCTGTATCAGCTGAGTATCCTGGAAGATTCCTCCCATCTAAGGTTACTTGTGGTTGGCGAAACATGTGCTTAAATCCCTGGAGAACCACATTTGGAAAGGACACCAGCAACACATGGACATCTCTACGCAGAACAAAGCCAGGTGCAGCTGGATGGGCTCCTGACTACAAAAGGAGATGGGGGTTCGGGCAACTCTTTTTAAAGCAAGCATGACAGCACGCTTATCTTGTGGAATAACCTTTTCAACTGAGAAAGGCTTGCATCTCGGTCTTCCCAAGTCTGACTAAGTACTCCAGCTGGTCAGCTGTGACACAGGCACTAAGCGCTATCAGTTCTGGCTCATAAAACCAAGGGATGTTCTTCGACCACAAGAAAGTAACATGTCCAGGATACTCTTCCAGGCTGCTATTCCCAGGTTAACAGAAGCAGATATGCAGCTCGACCCTGAGGGCTGGAATCTGGGAATGCGTCCTACCTTCAAAATATCCAGCTGAGTCCCCTTCCCTCTCTGCCTTAGCATGGGGTGAGTCTGTCAGTGGACCTCACTTCATCTTGAGAGCATTTTCTCTCATGGGAACATTATTAAAGCTTTTAAGTTACCTCTTGGTACTTCACTACCAGATGATGCAATCCTGCAGCTTGAAACATCTTTATCCTGTTGCAGACATGGCCATGTACCCTGCCAGCTCCCAGCACAGATGTATAAAAGGAATGGACCACAGCAAGAGGTCAGAGGTATCTCTTATAGCCAGATAACAGTAGTCATTACAGACATCCTCAATTTCACCAGTATGTACTGACTCACAGGAGCACTTAGGGGAAAAAAAAAAAAAATCACATCAAAAGTTTATTCTGCAGCCCTCCAGCCCTCAGAAACAAAGGTAGGGCTG